CCATTTTAATCTGCAAAATAGTGCAGCTGTATGTGATCTTCTCACATATGCAAGGCAAAAAGATAAACAAATGGTCTTCTTCTAAAACGATGTATGCCCACCAGAGGCTCTCTGTTGTTCTACCATTGCTGGGAGGCAGCCACTTCAGATGGTGGACTCCCCAGATTGGGGTAGGCAGAGGGGGGAGACTCCAGCTCCCCAGACCTATGACCCTCCTCCACCCCCATGTCACGCTCCTTTCTTGCAAAACTGGGCAGTGTGAGCCGCAGGGCCTTCTGACCAAGCCCCTGTGATGGAGGGTGTCGTCTCACTCCCAGGGTCAAAGAAGGCTTTAAACGCAACCCCTGTTGGCTTGTTGGCATGGGATGGCATATAATTCCATCTTCCACCTCAGGTGAAAAAATAATGGTTTGGTCTGGCCCCGCGCCAGCCATGGCATTTTGATAAAGTGTACTCTCTCTTGTGAAACCTCGAGCTACAAGTGAATTCATCTTGAAGATGCCCCTGTAGTTGAACATGGCTACACTTCTGATAGAGGATCACATTTCAGAGTTTGGAAATGTTACCTTTTTAGGGCTACTGTATAATTATCAATGACTATGCTGTTTGGAAAATTCCAGGAGTCATAGTCCAATAACATAACTTGGCCAAGATCTGATGGTATAGGAGAATCATCCAAAGATGTATTCCCTCATCACCTACAGAATGTTTTTTTAACTACAACCGAAGTGGACAGTAGGATTATCTGCTCCAACTCCCTGTCAATGCAGGATTTCTGCTACAGCATCTCTACAGGGCCATACATTACTGGCATGGAAACAAAGACTAAGATTTCCACAGGTGTTGATTCACCATTCAGCAAATGTCCTTAGCTGGAACTAGCCACTGGCCTCAGGTCTCTGTATGGAACCTTGTTCTTTTATTACTGTGGCAAGTTTTTGTGTTGAGCTTTGGAAGCTGCCTTGACAGGGAGTTTGCCTCAAAAGAAATTGCAAGTGTCTCAAAGAAATACTGTGCTG